ATAAAAACTGATGATGGTGGAAAAATACACCGAAACGTATTTTGATTGATAAATAGAGACAATAAATGACTGAAAGCCAGGAATGAATTTGATTTCTGCTGATTGACACGAAATTAATTATAAATTTTTATGAAAATTTGAGCAAAAAACTAAAATTTCAGTTGCAAACTTTTTGGTTTTAACGTAAAACTTTAGGGTCTTTACTGAGTTAAGTTAGTCGGAAATATTCAGAAATTTATTTCGAGGAAACACTTCCTCACACCCTTAAAACAGTTTCAGGCTTGAAAAAATCCTGTTTGCTGCAGAAAACACTTTTAAAATGCAAAAAAATTAAACTTGAGCAAACCTTTAGTTGGGCAACTGCTTCCCAAAATCTGTTCAACAGCTCTGAAAGCGCAGCTTTAACGTACGAAAACTCACTAAATAATTTTTTTTCTGAAAATTCTGTTGATTAATTCTGAAAATGACGGGAAACAACTGGGCACCGAAAATATGCATATCCACGATTCAAACTGTTCTGGCCAATATGTAAAATTTCCATCATCCGCAATTGTAATTGCAAATGGGCTTTAGCGCCCTAAACCCAGATGACGTATAAATAATCGTTTCAATGCATCATTTCGGATGTTTCGTTCGAATTGTTGAACGCAATTTGTAAAGTTTGACTGTAATCAAGTTTGTCGAAAATCGTTTGGATGCCCACAATCGCTTGTTCATGCTCTATCGAATTGATGGGCAAATAGTTGATGTTTTCCTGCTAGCCAACTAATAATAAAAGGCACAGCAATGGGCTTTCTGATCGATGCTAAAGTTTGGCACGCTGCCTACTTTCCATAGGTTTTTCTCTGGATGCGAAGTTGACTCCTTAGAGCACAATGCCGTCAATAAAATCACGTATTTTCACGGGCACGTGTTTTCAAACTCCAAATTCCCATACACGTGTTGCCGTGAAACATCCGGTTTAATCCGCAAAACGAACTCAACTAAACACATAACATGTATTCGAAATTCGCGCAAGTTGCGGAAAAACCACAACAGGGAAATGAAAAAAGTTTTCCTCACTGTTGGATTTGTCGGTTGTGCAAATCGAATTCTGGCTGGTAGAAGGAGATGATTATTATTATGTGAAATGCAACATTCAAATCGCCGGCTTTTATTTAGAACACAATTCCGAAACCGTATTTTCAGTCTTATTACCTAAAAGATTTAGATTTCAATCTGGGGGCAATTTTTTAAAGAAAAGCGCCATTCTTACGAGCCCCAAGGCGAAGCAGGCAATTCGGTTTGCCAGCCACATTTTCTGCAATATTCCCGAGTTAATCGAGCGAGTTTCCCGTTTGAATACTTGATAAGAAGTTCTTCGGATTACTTTCAACGCACTTTAGCTTCACTAACTATATGAGTGGTCCTTTTGGCCATTTTGCCTCACAAACAGTAAATGGCGTTTGCCGAAACCCGAAAAATGCCAGCCTGCAATGTAAATCCATCCAATATTCACGATCCAACTCGCTCCTGCTCTGACTAACTTCCGGAATTGCTCTCAAACGTAAAACAGTTGGCGGGCTTGTGGCGGCATAAATTCCTCCAGATTGTAAAATACGACTGTGGCTTATTCCAATCTAAAACACCGCCATTCGCTGCATATTATTCTTAATACGCTGCGTTGCCTTTGACAAATTCGTTTTTATAAAACACTAAAAGCACTTTACACTCGGGATTCTCTGCAAAATATGATAATGAACTTTTGCACATTGATTATATATTGCACATTTGCCGAGAAGTTTTCTTGCCTTAAAAAAAGGAAAATTTGCGATCGCACCCGGTAAGTCACTATCCTTGGGCCGATTGCGCACGTCTGGATCGTCGCAGTGTAAAGAAGCGAGAACCACCGGGCGTTGCCTAGGAAACCAATACATTATTATCGCTCCCAATCGACCTACCAGGACTGGTCACTAAAGCTCCTTTTGCCACCGATCGTTGACACACACGAGTGTTTTAATGAATGAAATTCGTAATTGCAACTTCTAAAAAATGAACGCTGAATCAAGTAAATGCCTGAACTAATAAAACCCCTACACAATTTTCAGGTCTTATAGTTGAATTAGTGAAACAATATCCCGTAGCATTAAGCTGTTGGCTCATGGCTTTTGGAGTGAAAATGAGTTCAAGCCGATACCTGGTAGTAAACTCAGTCTGACAGAGAGCACTTAGCAAGAAGTTAAACAAAACTTTGCTAATTGGATGTAATGAAGTCAAGCTCCACCTAAGTGGAACGAGACTTAATGGAAAATGGCAATAACAATTCCGCAACAACTGCCGAAATAATCTGAGACGAACAGGAGCAATTCAATTTCAAAATATTTCGAGATTTTTATTGGGAGAAACAGTGAATTTCGGTCGGCTGTTAATCGGCAGAACATGCCCAAAGTGCTTTATCGAGTAAATTGGGTCATGTGTGTATGTGGATCATGGCAATATTGAAATTGATCCCATTGCCCGCGCTGTTAACACATCGCACACATTATCCGATGTTTCACTGCAAAGTTACAATCCACTAAATCAAAAGATGTTGCCAAGATACAAAGCCAATCTGTAATATTGCCCCCAAGGGCCACAAATGCGATTGCCAAGAATATTTTCTATATCGCCGAAATGCTGAACAACTTTATGGGTATGACCCGAACGCAATCTATCTTGTTACGGCCTGAAATCGAACAGGGTGAATATTTATTGGCATTGGGACAATATGGGGATGAGTGGCTTTCTCATAACCTGGATGGTCCATTTTCTAGCCCCACATTTTGTCATTTCAGCTCCAGTTGCATGCGATTTGATTTCCTAAACATTTTCACTTAACCCTCAGTTGACTCAAGCTCGCCAACTTCTCTTTAACATTTTTTATTTATTTTAATATTTACCCTGTTTGCGCCCTCTAGTATTTAATTTCTTCTATTTATCTTTCCAGCAGCTTAATGAGTATAGAAAGCGTAATGGGAGGCAAATAAAGTGTATAAAGAGCTAATTTATTTAACGCAGGTTTAACCCGCATTCCGACTGTGTATTTAAATACACTGGACGTAAATTGCTAGTTTGAAGCAGGTACACGGGCTTGATTCAACTTCAATTTTTCATTCACTCTGGAAAATATTCTGCTCTAAGCATTCGTGTTTGTTGCTGATGGTAATAATTGTTTTAGTGACCAGTCCTGGTAGGTCGGAAAGGAGCGACAAGGATTTATTAGTTTCCAAGGCAACGCCGGGTAGTTTTCGCTCTTTCACACTATCAACAATCAAGTCGGGCGTAATCCGCGCAGAACTATTGTCATACCGGGTGCGATCAAGACTTCGGGAAACGGTCAGACGGTCCTTACGAATTGTCAGTTATTTCCAATCGCCCCTCATATACAAACGAAATTTTCATTGCATCTGTTTAGAGGCGATAAAATTTGATTGGGCTATGAGAGAAAATGAGCTTTCGAAACGCCGCATAAAAATGACTGTTTTAAATGCATGACACTTTCGACCGTTTGAAGCGTTACCCTACATTTTCCCACTTTAGGTTCAAACTTTTAAAGGTTAGGAGTTTCTGATAAAGCAAATAATGAGCAAAGTGCGGCCCTCTAGACGACGCTCTATCTAAAATGTCCCAGATATATTCAACTGTTCCTTAGATATCAACTTTTAAGCTTCAAGGGAATTTGTAAAGCCAACATTTTGGCTTCCATCTCTTTAGAGGTTAGGAATATCTGATAAAACCTCATGGCTGAAAGCCAGTTTTTGAGAGGGTCTTTCAAAAAGGTTCCCATGACTGTTTGAATATATTCAGTGGTTTGAAAGTTATGAAGTTTTTTAGCGCCAGGTCTACATGAAGGGGCTGAGCACATTTCCGGTCCTCGTTTTGTTTAGGGTTGGTGTAAATTTATTCGAAAATTGTCCCAAATTATTTGTATTTAATGCAAGCAAGTTTCTCAGCAAATTGAACCGGACTGGTACTTTTCTAGTAGCTGTTTCGTACCGGCCGCAAGTTTCCATTTCACCAACGCTGCAGCTGTTTTTGAGCAAAATAAGCTGCAGGAAATCCGGCTGGAAGTTCGATAGCAAGTAATTTTCAAGCGTTACATAGCCAAACGTCTCCATAACAAGGCAATTCCAGCTGGAAAGCCGCATAGGAAATTGCGAGAAAAGAAAACTTTCACATATCAAACATTTTATGAGACAGTAAAAGTAACTAATCCCTTCGCCATTACCGGAGCTCTGGGGGTGAAAAAATATGATACCATTTCTGTCAGAGCGATAAAGGAAGATGCGTGCGAGAGCTCCACAAATTGGCAATGTTTTTATTATGAGCTGTTCTCCGGCGCGGTGAGTTTTACTCGCTTTTTTAATAAAGGAAAAGCTGTCGTCATTATTATATCGCAACAGTAACAGCCCTTAATCTAATCAGCTCCGGCTCCTTTCATAAAGTAATTCCAAGTGCCATCAGCCGCACTAAATGTAGTGAAAAAAACCGCGCTTATTCACTCGTTTAAGCCGATGACACCGACTTGAGCTTTGAAGTGGATACTCATCTGGATTAAATTAGCAATCGATTAGAATTTTCTCTACAAGAACTTTAATTGATTGGGTCTGACCAATGCGGCCACAAATCTGTTTCCAATTGCATCGAATTCCCCTAATCGAATGGCCCGTTCGTTCACATTCGGTGATTGCAAAGTGAGCAATTTTCGACCGAAAAATCGAACAACAAACGAAAAAAACTCGATCATTGCCAAACCACACAACAAATGCAATTGCATGTGGATATTGAACTGGATTTACATGCTCGCTAATGGTAACTAATTACTGTTTTTGTACATCGATTGAATTTAATTCGCACTTCGAAAAAACCTTACACATCAGCTAGCAGGAAAAACACTTACCGTTAAACGGTCGCTAATTCAAGCTTGGGCATGGATAATCTGAAAACAAAAACAGTTTGTGTTAGTTAATCGACAATATTTGAGTTAAATGGGTTTTTTGGACGACATACAGGGGGTAAAAGTTTCTTTTGCTTTAGCTTTGTGTGAAACTACGCGCGATTCTTTACGAGATATTCGGCACAAAAGTTGCGTTTAAAGAATCTTTTCAGCTCATTCGAAAAGCAAAAGTATCCTGCTGATTCAGTTCTCAAAGGCTCAGTTTTTGAGTTATTAACGATTATTGAGTATCCGAAAAAATTTGGTTTAAAAGGGTTTTTTTTGACGACATACAGCGGGTAAAAGTTTCTCTTGCTTTAGCTTTATGTGAAATTACGCGCGATTCTTTACGAGATATTTCAGCACAAAAGTTGCGTTTAAAGAATCTTTTCAGCTCATTTGAAAAGCAAAAGTATCCTGCTTATTCAGTTCTCAAAGGCTCAGTTTTTGAGTTATTAACGATTATTGAGTATCCGAAAAAATTGGTCCCGAGACAATAAAACCTAATTGAAATCGATCGGATTTCGAACGCAAATAGACACTTCTTTCAGTCATCTTTAGTATTTAGCGACCTTTTAAAGGAAAATGGGAAAAACTCCACAGGATGGGAACAATGGCACATATGCAGCAGGAATTTCCAATCAGAAAGTATGGATAAACGGGATTTCGGTCGAGTAGTCAGAGACAATGTCATCCCATATGGGACACGTACGGGATTGGAATACCGTCGTTTATAAATCATCGAATCCACAGTTGCAGGATGGAAATTCAAAAAGTGCCAAAAATAGTTGTAGTTGACTAAACCACCCAAATGCAAAGTTTGAGGCTTAGCAGGAAATCGACTTGACTATCACCTAATCCGTTACCAGCCTCGTGTGCTCCCTGATAGGGTAATTTCACCCTTAATTTCATTTCTACCTGCAAACTAACACTAAACGTAATTTCCCCCTGCACGTAATTCGAAAGTTATGTTGCCTGCTTGTAGCTGAAACCGATCAGCCAGGCGGTTATCTTTCACTAAGTTAACGACAAAATCGTTACTTTAGTGTGTCGGCTTAATGTCGTTTCAGCCCCAAATTAACCAAGATTTTCTCGCAAAAACCTACCAGGTTGGACAACTGTGAGTCTTTCAAATAACCCTTAAGTTTGTCTGGAAGCCACTTGAGCGATTTCACTTTGAATGGTGTTGAAGTACAGAAGTGAATTCGCAACTTCTCAATCAACTAATTGATCGGGCTGCTACACTTAAGGCGCGTTGAGACAAATTTTGTCGCATGTCGCAAAAACTCATTAGTTAATTGCATTTGCAAAATTTCGTTCGCTTGGTACAACAGCGATTTTCGTGCGTTTCCAGGTAATTGCAATTCATCTCTTCAGCGAGTTGTAGGGCAGAATCCCCATCAATTGCTCAATAGCGATCATTCTCCACAGAAAGTTGGGATTTTCATAGCGCAAAAATTACGCAATTCTTAATCCTGTTTGAAAATTTCTCTCCCAAAGCTGCTCTATATTCGGTAGACGTGGAATTACGGTCACAGTCAATGCATTAGCAATCAGACTAATTGCCCTACAAATAACGCGAGGGTTAAGGAAAGCCAAAATTTCGGCCTGAATAATTCAAACGCGAATCGCAGAAAAGAGCCTAAATCCATTTGGGTTACACTGGGGCCGATTTGACACCACTAATTCATTATTCAGCGGCTTTAAAGCGAAATTATTAGTTTAAAGGGCAGTAGGTGCAAATAGGAAATCAAACAAACATTAGCAATGTTCCCAGTTGCAAAACCTTCGGGATATTTTCAACTTTCACAACAAGATTATTTTCGTGACGTTTCGCAAGCACGAGTGGCTGACATCTTCAGAGGTGGTTGCTGCGTCCAGCAAAAGCAAACTGCCTTTGATGATGCGAAACTATTTTTCACGACGGCCACAAAGCGCGAAATTCATCAGCCTTCGATCGTTTTCTTGGTTAGCATTTTTCATTCAACGCCCTGTAGAAATCATTAAAGAATGCCGTAATTGGAAGGGTGAAGTTTTTAAATTCACTACGTAAAAGGGTTTTAAGGGGCGCAAAATTAAATTGGTAACTTACAGCTCTTACCAGAGCCTAAAGTGCCTCTGGAAAGGATCGTGTTTAATTTGTGATGGCTTTTACTGCATGAAGAATATAACCGATCCAACAGTGGATTTTGCTCCTGAGCTCGACTATGTGTCTGTTTCAAATAGCAGGGCTAAAAGTGCTTTTAGTGCATTCTGAAATGTGGCTAAGCAGGATTTAAAAAATAGTTTCTGATCCGCATGCAGGCAGATTGCAGTGTAATGGCGCGAACGATTCAACTAAAATTCCGAATTTTTCGAAAATCCCTTGGAAATTTCAAGCAGTTTTGAAGCCAAACCCCGATTAGTTGGGCGGGCACATTTTTCAGCTTGCACGCGAAGCTTCAAAGGTCTCCGGCTCTTTTGTGTTGAGATACCGACCGAAAGTTCCTTCACCAACATTTTCTAGTTGTTTTTTCCGCCAGTTCCGCTCTAAAGCAAAGTCGAACTCTAAAGCAAAGCGAACTTTAAGACTTTTGACCGAGTTTATTACGTTTCATGTTTTAGTAGGGCTCATCAGCATGAACAGGGACGTTCGGAACTGGAGCAAAGAATTCCGGTAGAATTCTCAAGTTTTGGCGGCTAAACATGCCATTGTTTTGTTAAATTAGGCATTTGAGTTAAGGAACTGTTTTTCGTGGTTGATTTATGGATCATAAATTTACAGATTGCACTTAAGTCCTCATAGTCGACTAGTTTCACATACTTTTTTCAGCTCAGCAGAAGAGATGGGGAAATGCCACAGTTTAACTCTGCCTATGCAGGATGATTCAAAAGTACTCGGGCAAACTTTCAGAACAAAAGGTTATAAAATGAGGCTTCTTAAGGGCGACGTTAGCAAAAATTAAGGTGTTTTTGTAAGAAAAGGTTTATGAAAAACATAAAAATTCATTCATATGGTCGGAACCGCCTGGGATTTTTTAATGAAACATTGTGCATGCATTGTTTTTGAAGAAAAAATGGTGCGCCACTGATGTATCCAAAAATACAGTTTACCTTTGAGCTCTCTTGAGGTTTCGTCGTATATTGCATCGTTTTCGAGCAAAAAAATAAAAATTGCCTCAATGCACAACTCCAAATCAAATTAATTCCTGGGTTTCAGTCATTTATTGTCTCTATTTATCAATCAAAATACGTTTCGGTGTATTTTTCCACCATCATCAGTTTTTATGTGTAGCGTTGTTGC